AAGCCTGTATGTACCTGCTTGCTGAAATGAATCAGTAGTAACTCACAAAAACAGATTTCCCCAATTCTTATTCAAAAAGGAGTAGATGTTACAAACCACTGCATAAAAAATGTGGAGATTCTGACTCGAGCTTCATGAGCTGGACAAAATTTTGGGCAAGCTAAAACTGGTTCAGGCATAATTCAAAAGCTAACCCATCCTACTCACTATTTTTACTGTGTAAGGTGCAGTTATTTTAACAAAAACGCACCGCTGATTTGGTGGTGGACAATTACTTCCATATTCCTGTACATGTAATCCAAAAAAGCAAACTTCCGCTCCATCGATAACTTCGAAAGCAAAAATTGCCTTCGTTCGATATGGGAATTTTTCCGGAAAACCAAGTGGTCCATATCTGCAGTTCATGTCCGTGAAAATTATTTCTATGAAAATTGTGAAAAAAAAAATTTTTTTTTAATTCAAAAATATTGCCAAAAAAGTCAATTTCTGAATTTTTTTTTCGCAAAAACAAGACTGGTAAGAGTTACTTTTGTTTCATGAGTGGCTTCACTTCAACTTCCTTGTCAGCAGCACATAGCACACGGATGATCACTTCGTAATCTTTGCCAGCTGGATTATTTTTCATAAATTTGTTAACACGATCTTCGATGAATTTCGACAGCTGGCAATGTGGGAGTTTTTTCGCCGTATAACGATTTTCTGGCTTTGGTAAGTTCTTTTCACGGCGACATGTCTCGCAAATAAATCCTTCCGGGAAAACCTGCAAAAACAAGCATGTCACTGATTATAAACACTAAAAATGTGCTGAAAAATGATGCTATCAAATGGAATCAGCCACTGGAACCTCACCTACCGTACCACTGTCTCTAGGCATGTACTCAGAACAAAAAGGACTGGTATAACTTTAGCTAAGTCTAACGAAGCATTTTCAAACACCTGCGCTTCAATCTGGGTAAACTTCAAGGAAAAACAGACCATGAAATGCCTTCATACACATGATATTCAAGCGAAATCCTTCTATTCTTCTATTTCAAGAAGTCTCTGTGCGTTTCTTGGTCGTCTTGTGATTTTTTATATCTCCAGAACTCTAATTTGATTTAAATTTAAATTATAGCACCCCCCCAAAAAAAAAAAAATCGAAACGAATATTAGGATCACCATTTGGCTGATCAAAAAGAGATGTAGCACTGGTCAAAGCAACAGAAAGACTGCCAACCACATAGCTGAATAGTAAGGCTCTGGATTACAAGTGTTTCAAACGAAACGATTAATTAGCAGAAAGCAAAAATAATTCGCTCTCATAGTACTAAAGAAATTGGGCCATTTCTTGACAACCAAAAATAATCCTTTTAAAACGGATCAGAAGGCCTGCTTTTCGTGGTGTGCGTGATAACTGAATTTAAAATCTTTAGTTCATATCTGTAGAGGATATCTCTGCAAAGTTTCAGTTTTCTAACTTGTCTGGTTCCTGAAATCGTTTCCCACCAAGAAAATTTGCAAATTTTAAACTTTCCCCCTTGGACATCACGTACGAAGACCCCGAAAAAGTTAAATTTAGCTGTATGATCCAATGCAAACCTTTTTGTTATATTGGGCGCAAACTTGATGCCACTTTCGATAGCAGAGGATACATTTCTCGAACGGTTCAAAATCGATTTGGTCGTTTTTCATCTGCACAAATTTCGATTTTGGAACCATGCTGCAAACAGATCACTTTCAAATCGAACATTCACAATAATACAGGCCAATTCATCAAAACTGATTACAAGTATAATAAAAGATCTTAGCCAAGCGTAGAACACGGGCGAGCAATTTTGCTATCGTGGAAATCGAGGGTTCCATTCGGCCGGCGAGAAAAACAATCTCCCCCACCACCCCCCTCCCTCTTCCCCTTCCTCTCCCCGGCAGTTCTTTCGTTCGTTTCGACTGTAAAACTGATACGGTGTATTGCATGGAATCAAAATCGTCACCGGCTTGCCAACAACTGTGACTAATCTTCAAAGAATCGAGCCACTGATAGTCTAATTAAAAGCTGATTGCTACCCGTATTTGGTACTACTTGGATAATTTCTGAAAAGCCTTAGCTCTCATGCGGAGCGAATACTGAGGTGGTTTTTTGGCTTGTTTTCCACTGAAAAAAAGCTTACTTCGATGTGTCATTTGGATTTTCACTTAAGCTAATTCCACTTTCCGGTAATGCTTCGAAACATTTCGTACAATAGGTGTAACGATCCGAAACAGTCACACCATACTGCGTTGATCTGAAACACAAAAAAGTGCAAATTGGGACTTCACTTCAAGCGTGGCAAATCACAAAGGTAAATTAAAGACGAATTATTTGCAAAATTTAAAAATTATGCACATTTCTTTCATAAAGTTCCATGTTTTTTAATGAAAAAAGAAAAAGGACCGGGGACTCACTTGGTTTCGTATACGTGATATGTTTGATCCCGTGCAATTGTACACATCGATTGGCCGTAGCAAAAGAGTGCCAACGGAGTAAAGGCAAGCTGTTGACCACAGCAATAGCCCATTTTACGCATCACCGGATCGATTTCCACCACAAACACTTCGTTGAGCTGAAACAATGCAAAAATTGGTGGTTTATTGACAACCAAAAAAAAAAAATTTAACATTGTCCCATCAGTTGCATTTGCTTTTTTTTCCTTTTTTTTGAATAACATCCATGTTTTTTTCTTTTTTTTTTTTTCAATATCGTTGTGCAAGTGGTATTTCCTGAAAAAATAAAAACAAACCCTGCTACAGAATTTATACACTTTCGAGTTCTTGCGATTGTATAGCCAGGCATTATCAAACATCAACCACATATCATCGTTGAAATCCCATGGATTTTTGTATACCCCTCGGTCCAATTTGTCAATCACTGTTGACAGATCCATTGGTTTTTTGACAATTTCGAAATAATCCTGCAATTTTTTTAAAAAAAATTTAGAGCGAATTTAGCACGAAAATGAGGATATTACATTCAATCATGCATTTGAGTATAATTACAATTTCTAAATCAATCGTGCAATATAATCAATCTCTGTGAAAGGTCAGGTACTGATCAGGGTGTCCAGCAACGGCAACATTCCAGACGAAACGGTAATTTCTAACAAACGCTAAAGATTTCTGCAAAAACAATTAAAGTTCTGCTTTTGTCGGGAGGACCGTAGTTTTTCGAAGAGATCAAACGAATGCCCAGGAAAACGTAAAACACTGGAGAAACCGAACAATGGGAAAAACCGCCAAAATGTATTGTGGGAAAGCAAAATTATGGATTACAACTGAGCCGGGCATTACATTTCAAGTAATTTAGGAATTACTCCAATTAGGGGGAATTTCTCTTACTTCACTCTTCCTGCTTCCTACCATACAAAGCTTGAGCGTAATTTGAACAAAGAAGCTATAAGCCGAGATCTCAGGTAGCGAAAATGGGGTACTACTTCCCAAAAAAGGACTAGAAACAGAAATGCAGGAGAAAAGCTTGGAAAGAGAAGGGATGGTAAGCACGAAAAAAAAATTTTGAAGAATTTTGAAGAGAAGATTTAGAAGAGGTGCAGAAAAAATTTTAAAAAGAAGCGACAGAGGAAAAAAGAGAGTTTCTTCATTTTCTAATTTTTTCCTCCAGCTTTCTTATATTTGAGCGCCATCCTTCCGTCCCTCCACCCTTTTCCATTTCCTTTTTTTTT